TAGTGAGTAAATCAACCAAAAGAAAATTAAATTCAAAATTTATTTCTTTAGGTCTTTGTAGAGTCCTGATTCTATTTTTAAATCGCTTAAAATGGACCATCCGAAGAACGACAATACCGCATGAATGTTTCAGATTCAGTACAGTGGCAGTAGAAGATCTGAGATCGGTGACCTCCAACTAGGATACGGTTCACAGTACTTGGTTCACCTCAGGGCAGGGGTGGTGTTGCTGTTATTTTTAGTGACGTAGCTTTGCTTATAAGTTAAATGAAAATACTGTGCGAATAATGTTGAAAAGACTGTTATATTTAGTTACTAGCTTATAAGACTTAACATTGTACTAAGTGTGACTAGTAATTAAGTCTCTTCTCTATATGTGTTATTGACTTCCGAATTTAGTTCAAGGAAATTACTTCTCCTCTTTCTGCCGAATATTTATATTTAACTGCCGCGGTAGCAAGTCGCATAATCGTGCAAAGAGATATTATCGTAACAAATGGCAAGCTGGACATTTTGTCCGTCGAATTAGGTTAACTGGTGGCTTGGTTTTACCTTAAGACTACTGACGTATTATATAAACAGATCTTCCATTATAAGAAAATCACATGATGTATAATATGTCCTTTACGGGCTTTTTAAACAAAGTACAGTGTAAAACTCCTACGTTCCAATTTTTTGGATGTTGCCTTGGAGACATTCATTTTTGATACGATTTGTACTTATTGTCTATAGATTTTCTGAAGTATTTCAATAATGTAGAGAAAGTCAGTTATGAAATCATCGTGTCTACGCTGTATTACTACAAAATGTATCTTTTAAATTAGATCCCACGCATTTGGCTTGACAATATAACTTCTCACTCTGTTCTATTTTATTATTTCGTAAACCTTGCAAACTTTTCGACATAACGTTGATTACTTATAACCTTTGTAATTCACGTATATTTTATGTCCCTGTTTTCTAGAACCGTTGCTGACTACTTGGTATTTGTCCAAATATTTTAAGGGATTGTCACATGAGTTGGAAATCGTGTTTTCTCCAGCTATCCTTCAAACATATCGACAATGATTTATTTGAGCCCTTTTTTATTGATGTATTTTTTTCGTAATGTTTTGTTTGTTTGCTAGGATCCACATAATGGTATGCTACCACCATACTTATTACCTTTCATTTCTATCATATTTTCTAAACAAGGAGTCTTGCGGCTGTAGGAATAATTCCTAACAGTGTTTTTAAATGTTCCCTCTGGTTATCTTACTATTGCGCGTGACTTGTCGTCTTCTGGGCTTCCATAACATTTTATGCTACCTTCACCCCTTTATGGATATATGACAGCGAAGTAGTAAAAACTTAATATTTTATGTATTGACCTTCACATTTACAATTTGTCGACCATTTCTCTTGTTGGATAAATTGCCCGTGAAACTACCGCATTTATACACTGTTATACTACAAGCCACTTGTTTGACCAGTAGACCATATTCAGAGTGTTCATGTTGCCAAAGTCATCAAATGTTTATGATACCCTTAGAACATGTTATGAAGATTATTATTAGTCCATTTAACTTGTCTTTGAAATAGTGTCATATAATTGATAACGGTTGAAATTCTATATCATTTACTCCGTTAAGTGTTGGATTTGATGGTTCGATCATACTTCACATCGCAATTGAGATAAGCGCAATATTGTGATAGAGATTAAACGATGAGCAATTTTCCGCGTGAATTAACTTAATAATATAGAATATATTTCACATTTCCGAATTATTCCTTAGAATGTTAAATTATACGAACTTTTACATGTACTGCGCGTATCTTCCCCATTTAAAATTTCATGTGAAAATATTTCCTTTGAGGGATTAATTAAGTAAAGTTTTCAACTTGTACCTTTATTTTGTATCATCATCCATGTTAAACATCACTTTAAGTATATTTCTTAAAAGAAGATGTAGAATTTATAGACGATTAAATAAAAAGACGTAAATGCCAATATTGTTTTATAATATATTAATGAAATCTTTCAAAATGAGATCTATGGAATTACACGACAAGGATATGATTTTCTTTGAACTTTGCAAATTGCACTTGGTCGGCATGGTGTACTATATCCTAATAGGTACCCTGTGCCCGAATGTAGGACTTACATGGTTTAAAGTAACGATTTAAAAAGGATCATCTTTTATTTTATTTGAACAGTTTTAGTTTTCCGTCAACCACAAGCCACATCTCTATTTCGGATCAAGAAACGATGCGTAGGCGTTTCCTAAAATTATAATTGACTTTACGGTTTCCCTTAGGATCCCATCAAACGTAGGTTCTGTTCGGGCACGCACGCACTCGTGACTTCCAACTCATTTCTTCATATCCCTTTGAGGACAGATTTGTTACACAATTAACAAACTTTACTACCTATATAAAAACATTGTATATAAAAAAAATGAAATTTTGAGGCGATGAAATCATGAAGATTTCACTTCAAATGTTAAGTTTCCCGTTAAATATTTTATGTGGGGATCGTAAACCCATCTTCATCTAATATTTCTAATTATTGATAGTTCGTTGAATTCCATTGGTATATTATCTGAAGCGAAAAATGGCGATTTAGGAAAGGAATAATTGGGCCCACGGGATTAGTAGAGCTTATTACTGTGCTCCTTTAGTATGGCTATAAATCTTCATCAGGATTGTGTATAAGAAATTGTTCTCGTTGAAAGGTCTATAATCTAGGGTTATTTCGACAATTATAAAGCGTTAGTGACAGAACGGCTGTTTCTTGAAAGAAACCAGAAATATTTGTAATAAGCACCGCACCTTAAAATATTTGGTAAAATGTGTATTTCGCTGTTTGATTTGATTTGTAGCTATAGTTTTAGACCGATCTCAACAATTTTAAGTTCAATTAAATTTATAAAATTGATATCCAGGCGTGAGTTCTGATTGTCAAACTATGTAGATTTATGGAAATTAAATCTATTGATCTCGTTTTCAACATTTCCATTTTCCGCTCTTTTAACAATTACCAACCATTCCAATATAATGAGGTTATGCCTCTATGCCCATTAGTTGTTATAATTTTACCTTAAAGTTAGTTCAATTTATACATATTAGCAAACTTTTTAAATATTATTTGGAGTGTGGTTTTGAATTCCGTGACCTAAGTTTATTTATATTAAAAGACTCCACGCAGATTCGCTACTCTAACATTTAGACCCAAAAATTAGTATTGACACAACTCTTAGAACAACTCCAAAGCTTTTAACGATAATAAGACGGTTCGAGACAATCTGGACTGAGAACTTTCCCTGACAAATGTTCCCTGATCCTTGCTTACCCTAATATGATCCCTAATATGCCTGGCGGTCAAGAGATAAAGAATATCCTCTTTGTTTTCCTGTCTATTTCGCATGTCGCTGTCTGCCTAGTAAACTGTATGAATTTATTGTTATTCCCGAGGATTTACGTTTTTTTTTATTATTTATTTACCCTCCTGTATTTTGTAATTTCCGTAATCGACTTTTCTTAGAAATCTTTAGTAGCCTCAGGTTGACAACGAAGCTCTTTTAATATAAAATGTTTATTAGATCTTTTATAGAGTTTTAAAACTGTTAACATTAAACCTGCACGAATAGATTACTACGTACTGTATGTGATATAAATTTTCCGTAAGCCATTACCACAAGGTGCGTATAGGAAACTTTTTATGACACAACTCCAAGAAGAAATAGGGGATACGGATTTGATACATCGTTATATTGAATCCGATCGGAATTTGTCACATGTGTTCTCTTATTCACCACCGAATATGATTTTTCTTCGGCGGTTGAACTCTTGAGCTTCACAAACAAAAAGATTTAACTGTTTTTATTGCTGTTGGTATTTAGTTCAATTTAAAACCTTACTTGGACGAGACTATTACTGTAGTAGATAGTTTAGTTCAAATAAAGTTTAGAGTTCGCATTTATATTTTCAACAATTTTCTATATTATATGAAAACACAGTGTAAAAGTTGCAGCTGTAGATCGGGGTTGATTGTGATTTATTTTCCCTAAATTAATCTATCTACAATATATGTATATCAGTATTAAGTTAAACTCCATGAAACTGTTTTATCATAATTTGGTAAATTTAGTAAACCTTAATTAAGTTTTATACCTAATGCAGCCTTTATGTTTAACATAAGTCTTTAAACGAACGGTTTTTTTAATAACAGCTCGGTCCACTAAAGGTTTTAGCAACATTTACTTTAAACACAAATTCGTTCTTCAAAATTGTCTCTAACGATCATTATGATACAAATTACTATAATAGAATAGAATACTATGACTTAATTCAGACTATATGGTCCATAATAGTGTTGGTAACATAACATTTTTCGTGTATACTAAGATTAACATAATACAACACAAATATACCTAATACTGAAAAGAGAAAATGCCACAGCTAAACCACTGCCTTACGTACATGTAGTTGCATTCAACACTTTTGTTATGAGCAGTCTAGTCTCCTGGCAACAACGACCAAGATGTTATAAGCGCTGCTGTGTGTACACACCAATAGGGAGACAACCCTCGTACGAATAATGGCGTGGAAGCCATTGTTCGTGTGCGTCTCCTCAAACATGCACTACAGTATCACCGCAGCCCCGTTAGCATCTTACAAGCGTTGTTATAATGTGCCCTCGAGATATTCACAGTTCTTTGTGTATCCTTCATCCACAGGCTACTTGTATGCGCCCGTGTAAATTACGTGTCTCTCTCTTGCTTTGTGCCTTATTGGTATATCATCTTCTCATCTCTAACGACTCGCGCTGTTTCTATACGCTTAAAGCACAGCTTTTTCTTTTTAACATAAATTTATGAAGTTTTCATTACTTATGTAAATTTAAATTGGGAATTGCTACATTTTGTATTAACTATTAAAATAACTAAATACAATATAATATATTGTTTTTCTTTATTAATTGTCGAGTGACGATTTTAATGCTTTTTCCTCTTTTGCAGTATTCTCCAAAGGACAATGCGAGACCGGACAATACCGTTTCTTGGCGAAAACTGGTGGCTACGCCTGGGTTCAGACCCAGGCCACTGTCATCACCGACAAGCAGCAAAAATCGACCAGTGTCGTCTGCGTTAATTACGTTATCAGGTAGGTCTAGATTTAAGAATTAACTTAAGAAAAACGCTTTAATAATTTATTCCACATACCTTTCAGCATTTGTGTTTTGAATAATAGAAATTTAATGTTCTACGGTGTGTTACATTCATAAAAAAAATATATTTACCACAAAAATAAGCAAAGGTAAGTCTGTTTTTACTTTGTTATTTTTTATCATAAGTTTTACAGCCCCAAACATAACTAAGCCTAAGTGATCTACCGTTATTAAGCCGTTTTATGGCGTACCTTGTGTACAGTACATGTGCTTAAACGATGTCCGTTATTAACTAGTGACACCAAAATTTTATCAGACACGGCACTCCCTTTTGCGCAATTAAGGCACTCTTGCTATCTTTTATTACTTAACTATCAATTGTACACGCGTAACTAGTTATTTATAAGTCTTATGTCTCGTATTTATTTTATACGATACCTGAATTAACTTCGCCGCTTGTAGAATCTACCATTGCTCATAAAATTTAACATGAAGAGTGAGTTTATTATGATTTATGCCTCGACAAATTTAATTTCGGCTCACGTACGAGGGAAAATGTTACGCCGAAAATCACAGTTAGCTGACGTCGTCTGAGCTAAACAATTCTTCCCCAATAAATATAATAAAAACGTAACTCATGATATTATAATCACTGCCGATGATTGTACGTTTCAATAAAAGAAATGAAATATACGTTTAATATACGTTTGACTCTAAAACACTTAGGCTCAACTCACACTGGCGCAGAATCGAAGCGTCGCGACGCGTCATGTTTTTCGCCTATAGTATATATTTTCCCATTATTAAGGTACAAATTTGTGTTATGCAAATATGGAAACGGGCGTCGACACGCGTCACTTGAGCGCAGTGAGGCGTCAGACGCCGACCACACTGACCCGGGCGCACTAATGCGAGCGTCGTCGCGCGACGACGCGCGTCGCCGAGCGTTATAGTTGAAAAACAGGACGCGACGCGACGCTTCAACTCTGCGCCAGTCTAAGTTGAGCCTTAGCTTTCAATCGACATCGAAATCGAATCTACCATCAAAGTATTTCTCTATGATGTGTTACCGAAAAATCTTGCAATACGGCAAATTTCTTGTGTGGACAGTTTTGGTGTAAAATAATGTGCTTGTCAGCCCCACCCAGGGAATGCAAAATCAGGTTCCTGTCAACATTAAATACGTACTAGATCTTTAAATCGTGAGATTTGGCTTATGTAACAATTTGCGTTTGTTTACTGAAGACACTGGCACGTTCTATTAACAAGGAACTTGGATACGCTTCAAATTGTCGGTAACACGGTAGTGCCCGGAAATATGTTACAAACTTAATGTCGAAGTTCATTTACTAACAATTCTATTATGTATCCAAGGCAATGTTGTTCTTTTATAGTCGGTCGGTCCGTTGTCAATTTTGAACTCTTTCCAGAACCCTTTTGACAACACCGAAGTTTGACAATTATATGGTTGTATTTTCTATGATGAACCTCAGCTTCTAAACTACTTCGGAATATTGCTGATCATTTTGTGGAACCGTAATTGTCTCTTCCAAGCAATAAAAACGAACCTATGTATTCAGCTATCGGTCGTATTAACCAATGTTGCAGTGATTTGGAACGGCCGCTTCATTTCTCTGTCAAAATTGTATATTTGTTCCAGCTATGTATTCTAGCAATAAAGTCATTGATCTCAGAGTATAATCGCCACTATCGATTTATGGTTTTCGTGCCATACTTTCATAACGACGAACATTTACTGTTTCTCACCAATTAGGATGACAGGTCACGTTTACAAAGCTTTTCCAGGTGTCGTTGAATAGAGTAGAATAGAATAGAAATCGTTTATTCCGTATTAGTCTGCGTTGCTTATGTATCTTTGAAAACACGCTTCACGTCATTGTGTAAATTGATAATTTAATACAACTTACCTATTTAGTCAGAGTAAGGTTATTGTTAGAGATATAATTATTTTCATAGTTTTAGAATTACTAACTTGAAGTTCTCATGGCCTTCCTTGTTTTGTTTTGTTCTACATTCACAACCAGGTGTCATCTGGTTGAATTTGGACTTCGTGTCAGGGACGACATTTTGGCGTGTTCATCTGGACATTGCTTGGCACACTTGGTAGCGGATTACGTACTACCACTCAGTTACATGTTCTGACAGTACTAATAATGTTTTGTGTCTATGTTATTTACGGAACAATTTCCCGACAAAATTGTACAAAAGCCTTAATTAACTCTTTCTTACGAAATTTTATTGAAATATCTAACTGTAAATTACTGTCTTCATTTGAATTGTTCAAAATTTCCATTTCGTCAAAGTTCTTCTGTGCATTTCTCCGTAATTCAGTAATATTGAAAGTGTTCAGTAAAAAAAACCTTTACTTATTGCTTTCATTTACATCGGCTTTTTGTGTTCCTTTCGCGTTGTGTATCTACAGTAAAGTTAACACAGATAAAAGTAACCTATTTCAAAATTCGTGACAAACTTTAGGACGCTTTTAATTCGTAGTATTACATTTTCAAAATGTTTGTTAACAATATTGATAGTGACAATCGACTATATTATTTAGGTTGAAGTGGATATCAACTCCTTCATTTTGATGAAACTGAATAAATGAGGAGTGTTGATAAACGTTATTGTACCTTAGAGTGTTTCAGAAGTGTCAAGTTAAGCGTTGATGACGTTTCGTTTGCTCTTATTTCTTACCATGCAATAAGATCGGCCAATCAATGAATCCATTATTTTTTCATCAAGGAAATCAGATGCAATCAGCTATGAATAAGAATTTACCGATACTATCTCCAAAAGCTGATGACTATTTGGTTTTGACGATGAAATCTTCATTTATTATCGGATCTTTCATTTCTTATAAGCACTTTAATAAGACTCGGAGCTATTGCTTTCCAAGACGTCTTATTTATTACTGTTTCCTTATCGTAATAGGGTATTGTCTCAATCCTAATATCTTGTATGATTTCCAAGTCTATTTTTATTTTTACATGTGTACCTAGTCCTACTTTGCTACCATTATAGTTTGCTATTTTATTTGCGGTACATTTTATTACAACGCCCTGTAATGGCGTTGACATTTCATTAGATTTTTACGAGGCCATTCGAATTCCAACTCTCGCCTCTCATCACAAACAAGAAATAGAGAAATTTTGTTCGTTACTTTACCGCTTTTAATAGGTTTTCTTTGTTCAAGTTATGTCTCACCGTACGCGCTAACTTTTACGGGTCAAATAGTATATTTAGTAAATTCAGTTTATTTTTTCCGTTCCTGGGTTTAGGTTTACTTCTCTGTGGTGTGACCTCCTTACATCGTCATCCTGCCTTTTTATCGCCTTGCTCCGGTTCCTGGCCACTAGTATTTAAATTATGAATTGTCCATAGTTCTTTTGCCTCGCATTCTGATTTTGTTTCGTATCCCCGTCACTCCCTGCCCGATCGCGGCAGCGAATACATCTCTTATTTTTTTGAACCATTTACCAGTTACCAAAAATCTCTTGTGCGATAAACATTTTAAAGATCATAAACATTGTTAAAATCCGAATAAATATTTATAAAATTGGATTTATTACCACTAGTTCTTTGCCCTTTTGAATTCTGAACGTTAAATTTACTAAGCAAGAATACGAAGGCGCGCTGGCTGCGGATACCACTACTCTCACATTACAATTCTACTGAACATTCCAAGCGGTACTAGAAGCTTTTCGCTGGCGCCCGAACAGGGAATTCGGTTTCGATATATATTTTTTAAATTCTACCATTTAAAAAAAAGTTCAAGTTCGATTTTCAGTTCATTACTTATTTAAAGTTCAATAAAGTTGACAGTTACTTTAAATATTGCGGCTAGAATGGTTACTGAATTAATGTCAGAATTAATGAAGTGTCATTTGTAACTCTTGCTCCAGACTTAGGGTTCAAAGTGAAGTTAGTTCACGCAATGCCTTATCCCGCTGTTCTAAGTGTTCCGTAAATCGTATCGCCTTTTATGGCCCTTACCATTCTCCACCCTCAACTGCCTGCGTGTACTTACTCCCGTCATAGAGGAAAAAATTAAACTGTAGATATGTTTACTTCACTTATAAAAGTTACCGTTTTTACATTTACTGCCTTAGCTACCAAAATTGTATCTTAAAAATAAATACCCTATAAAATGGATACTTACGGTTGTTATTAAAGCTAATCAAATTTACCAAAACATGTCGGAGGACAACATTCAATTCAGACTAAACCTTGCATTAAATCTCTGTGCGTGTCATGTGCGTGATAAAGAAACAGAATAAATTTTACGTGACAAAACCATTACATAGTTACATTGTTTTGGCATGAAGTCTGATAAAGCAACATTTGTATTGTTTATAATGTGTATTTTAGGTGTAGACATGTCTACATCACTCGATACTATTTCCTCTCGTAATTTTATAAAATTAATGCTCTGCGATCTGTGCCTTCAAATGTCTCTATTTTAGCTCCCATTCATTCATCGTAAAACTGACTCAATTCGATTTTACGTTCATTCGTGTCTGGCAATAATAAGCAAAAATTATATATAGAGTTTTTCTTATATGTTGTATTATCTTATACTTTTTTTTGTTCCTTGGTTTAATATCCCTTATATTTAGAGTTCAGGGTGAACGTACATGGTATAGGCACGGTTAAATGTGAGCCACTATTCTGCCCTCGTAACGAAAAAAGGCACAAGTATGCGTACTTTATACAGCAGTTGTGTTGTTTTCGTTCGGAGGGCAGTATTTCACTTTCATCCAATACAATTGTAATAGTAGCCTATCTTGTTACGTTGATACACTTTTTTATTATTATAAACTATTTTTTTTTATACTGTATAACAGTGTTGTGACATTCAAGTGTGCTTTAGTGAACATTTAGTAGCAATACTGCTACTAAACTTAAATGTTCTCAACTGTTAGTAACTAAGGAATTAAAGTCTAAAGGTCGTATTCTAGAACTCTACTCAATGCTCAAG